ATCTACGAAATGCCGGCAACACTAGAAATATATTTTGTCACACACAACTTTATTCTCATTCATTTTTGCCATCATCAATTAAAAATTGGAACAATCTTCCATTCACCATACATTTCAATTTTCAAAAGAAGACTTAAGATGTCCAAAGTGTGCCTCCTTATTACTATGTAGGTGAGAGAAAATACCAGATTATACAAACAATACTTAGAACACATTGTAGTTCTCTCAAAGAACATTTGTTTTCAAAAAAAAAATAATAGAAAATCCCTTATGTGAATGTGGCGACATAGAAAACAAAAAACATAATAGAAAGTCCCCTATGTGAATGTGGCGACATAGAAAACCCATCTCATTATTTCTTCTCGTGCCGAAGGTACCTAGATGGACGAACTGTCATTCTTAAAAAATTAAGCGAAATAACAACTGTCACACTTAACGTTTTACTCTATGGCGATAATTCAATAGCTGGCGATTTAAATGAAGCAATATTCCTACATATACGTACACTCATGTTTTATACAGAACAAAACGATTTTAATTGTAATAGAAAAGTTATAATTCAGACTAATATGAAACAGAGATTAAGAGGCATAATATCTTCACAAAAGTATATATAAACTCGTTCCTCGTCAATAGTATTATAGTGACCATTTTCTGTTGTTGTTGTTTCTTCTTCTTTCTCTCAAATTGGTCTCTTACTTCTTACCTTCTATTACCCAACAATTTCAACAATAAAATTACATTTCCATATCTTTTTTTTCTTCAAATTTTCAATTTTTTTCAAACATGTTTAAAAGTTCTATTATTTTTCTTGATTAGTTTAGACGTGCTAATTTGTGCCTTTATCACTTAAGTGTATTTTTGTTTAGGGGTTTCCTTCACTTTTTATGTCTATACTTTATTAGTAAGGTCGGGTTGATTAGGAAAACCAGAGTGCAAATTGCTAACTTTCTTGTACATGTAAAGAAGCAAGTTTATAGTGAAAATATTATGTAAATTTAACACAAAAATGCTTATATAATTGTTACCATTTTTACATAGTTTTTGAGATAGTGCTTACGGAGAGAGTTTCTAAAAAAGCTTTTCAAGCTTACTGCTCAATCCATACAATTTGTTATTTGTCAATTATTATGTAAATGTAATGTTTATAAATAAAATAAAATAATATTTATAAAAAATTGTAAAGGCCTTATCATTACATGTTGAAAAAAACTTTCTATAATTAGCATGTACTTTATTAACATAATTTGCATTTTGATATTTATACTTATAGACTATAATGTAAAGTTTTTACAGTGGTATTTTAAATTTTCAAAATAGCTTATATTATGTCTTATTACATGGTTTGGTATAGCTATGTTAAAGTTGATTCAATTTAATGTATAAATGAATAGCTTTTTTGCATTCATAAATAGAATTGCATAATGACTTTTACAGATGCTGTGTTGAATTAAAAGTTAGATTTTGGATTTCCAAGAGATAACATTGTGGCTTTCCATAAGAAATATGTGTTGCTGTTTTTAATTCAGGATAACCTGCGCATATTAAACATATTGTTTGTGGTATTCCACTAAGAAAGTAACTTTAATTCATAAAACGGAACATTGTGTTGAGATTCACTCAACTCTATTAGGACACTAAATTAGCGCATAAAACGTGTTGTGAACTTTTTTTATCATTTTAATATTTACACCCCTCACCCACCCCGACGAACCCCAGCACCTAAGTATCTTATTTGTCATGGGTAATATCATATTGATGGCTGCATAATTTTAGCATTTTGATACTGCTATCCCTAAAATTGATAATGAACAGTTCCATTGTTAGATGAAAGGAAATAGCAGCCATTAAGCATATTTCGTTTTATTGATTTCTTTACATGACAAACACTTTATCACTAGAGTTTCGATATTTACCACCGTATTATCATTTATTTTTAAACCGCATTAAGACACCTGTTTATCTCTTTACAAGGACAATAAGTAACAATTGCAGTACAGTAAGTTATCATTGTTTTATGTTTTCCTATAGATATGTATTAATACATGTATATATGCCAAATAATTGATTTAAATATAAGGAAAAATTAAAGCTATTGCATGTACTGATTAATCAATCGATTGCTCGTACTTGATAAGCGGGCGTTTCATAGGTCGGTGACCTTTCTGTCGAAAATGTGTCAGGGTTAAATCGTACACATATACACGCACAGTGCGTTAATTGGATTGCAGGTACTAGTAACCCGCACTCCAGAGCATACCAATTTATTGGCTCTTTTTTATAGGGTTTACTTATTGTTATATTTAAAGATATACATGCTTTCGTAGTTTCTCAATTGTTAAGGACTAAGGCCAAAAATAGAAATATGTTTGTTTCCCCTTCCCGACCCATTAAAATCAGGGTAGGAAAATTATTTTTTTTATGTGCAAAATAATAAATAAGCTGCATATATGTATATTGAACTATAAAATTAATTTATTAAGTGCAATAGTATATGTACATGCATTACCATATTCACCACTGACATACTTGTTAGCTGTCTAAAATATCACATTAGATTGTACCTATTGTACGCTGAAATAAAAAAAAATCCAATTTGTTGGGTAGCTAGGGAAGGGGAAATGAATTAAATTTTATTTTAGGCCTAAATACCGCTTAAGTAGGTGCTACCGGGAGTATGAGATATTAAAAACTCCATTATATTAATGAATTTTAAACATTCCGTTGCACTCGAGCGGTCTCCCTTTCCCAAATTACATATCTTTAAATAAGTTTTAAAGCATCCTTCAGCTTTTCCAAATGTTAATTATGTTATTCTTTAAATAGATAAATAGTTCCATATAATAGTCAAACCCAAAGAATTAAGGTGGACAATTAAATTTGCCGTCGATAAAATACATAAACGATCAGGGAACCCCTCGATACCTCTAATCTACCGGTTCGCTCTCTATATTTAAATTTATAAAGCCCAGAAACGAACGACACTGGCGCGTTGTTAAAAAAAAAAATCGAAGAATGCTTAACAGTGATATAATGCACGTTTCAAAGATAAAATTAAAGAAATACTCAGTGTGAAACAACATTGAATTATTTTAATTTTTTGTTTTGTTGTTGTTGTTTTTTTCTCAAATAAAATTAAAAGCTTGAGGCCTCTTTAACATTTTTACGCATAACATTATAATACTATTACAATAGCTCTCCATATTTTGGAATAGTCGACCTAAAAACGGGTAATTACTGATAGTCACTTTCCTTTGGGTGAGTGTCTGCAAATAAAATACGCTATTACTGTATAACTACTGCTATAATCAACGAAACAATGTGAAAACTACATTGTAATCGACAAAGATGTGATATGGAATAGAATAACGAACGATAGCTATAGGTTAGGCCTATTTAAACAACTCAAATGAAATCTTATTTAAATAAATCGTATCACGGTGTTTAAATCAGAACAAGAAACTGATTATACGTTTACATTACAACAGTTTAAATAAGCAACAATTTTGGAGAGTATAAATATACTGTATGTGTGCTTAGAGGGCCATTTTAATAGAATCAATCTATTTAAACACAGCTTGTGCTTAGAGGGTCATTAAAAAACTTACCAAGGTATTAAACGCTGTGCTTAGAGGGTCATTTGGATAGTATGAATGTAATAAACACTATGCTTAGAGGGTAATATGGATAGTATCAATGTATAAATTAAACACTGTCTGTGCTTAGATGGTAATTTGAATATTATCAATGTATTGAACACTGTGCTTAGAGGGTAATTTGGATTGTACCAATGTATTGAACACTGTGCTTAGAGGGTAATTTGGATTGTACCAATGTATTTAACACTGTCTGTTGTGCTTAGAGGGTCATTTTGATAGTGTCAATGCATTTAACATATTCTGTTCTTAGAGGGCCATTTGGATAGTATCAATGTTTTAAACACTGTCTGTGCTTAGAGCGTCATTTTGATAGTATAAATGTATTTAACACTGCCTGTGCTTATAGGGTCATTTGGATATTATCAGTGTATTAAACATTGTCTGTGCTTAGAGGGTCATTTGTATTAAACATTGTCTGTGCTTAGAGGGTCATTTGGATAGTATAAATGTATTTATCAAACACTGTCTGTGTTTAGAAGGTCATTTGGATGGTATAAATGTATTAAATACTGTCTGTGATTAGGGGTCATTTGGATAGTATCAATGTATTAAACATTGTCTGTTGTGCTTCGAGAGTCATTTTGATAGTATAAGTGTATTAAACATTGTCTGTGCTTAGAGGGTTATTTGGATAAAATCAATGTATTAAACACTGCCTGTGTTTAGGGGTCATTTGAATAGTATCAATGTATTAAACATTGTCTGTGCTTAGGTGTCATTTTGATAGTATCAATGTATTAAACATTGTCTGTGCTTAGTGAAAGTATTAAACAATGTTGTTGTTGTGGTGATGGCTTTTAATTATTACAATGTAGATAGTAGGGCCTATTAACGTTTACTCACTGTCAGTGTTGTGAAACAGCAGTGGGGCTTTATTGCATTATAGTCAGACTCAGTTAAAATTACATGAAATATGAAACAGTAGTAAACAGAATTATATTGTTGCCGGTGAATCAAATTTTACCTGTAAAATCAAAATTGAAAGTAAAGCTATTTTACTAATGAAGTTAAATGATGTTCATTCATTGCCTGTTAGACAAATATTCATTACTTTCTTTAACAGTTCGAAATACATTGATAAAAATAAATTCAGCATTTTTCTTCCATAAACTGTCTGTCTTTCAAATTTGTCCAGCTGATTAGTCATCTAAATATAATACTGTATAATGTACAAACCAGCTCAGATTTTCATTTGTCTGTTACCAGTATGGTTTGCACACAAAATTTTGATATTTTATAATGTTATAGGTTACATATATGTACATTTAAATTATATAGAAATAATTAACCAGTTTGAAGTATGAGCACATCATATATACATTTGTTTTTTGTTGCAGGTTAACAATGAGTACATTTGAAGATTACAATACCACGTGTAATGGTTATGATGACAATCGTCAGCCGCTAGGTGCAGATATTGTTGCTGGAATGATGCATGTTTACAATAACAAACCGCTGAAGGTATACGTATTATTTTGTCCTTTTTCAATGACGGGAAAAATAGATTCAAAATTTTAAATAGCATAACCACATTGTCATATCTCAATGACGAGATAATTACATCTTTACATTACCACAACATACTATAATCAAAGCACTGAAAGCACTGGTAGCTGAACGACATGTTAAGAGAAAATGTATAAGTCATTCCGATAATTTTGATAAACAAATATTAATTGTTAGCATTACGTTACTGACATTTTACAGTTGCAATGGATAGTTATAAAACTAGCGTTTGCTAGCCAAATGGATTGTTTTAAAATGCACAAAAATGAGAGCAACTATATATGCAATGTTGTCCTGCACCGATTCGAAAAATTTTCTTACCATTTAGTTTATTTAAGACATGTATTGTGGTATGAATTATAATTATAAGCTGTAGATTTTTCAAAACTCATCTTATCTTAAATATAGCCTGTAAAGTTGTTCATATGTACATGTATCTGTTTTATATGTTGAGTTGAACGAGTAATTCATAAAATCTTTTAAAAGTTATACCGAATACCGGGGTATATGATTTTTTTAATTATTAATCATCTATCAGTGTATTTAGATTAATTTTTGTATAGTTAAATTATACATATTTGCTTTTAACTTATTGACAATGGTAGACATCGTCTATTATGTAAAGTGTCGAATTTGTCATACATTGAAATATGTTTGTCCATAACACTAGATCTAGCACCTTGATAAGAAGGGTGAATTTATGTTATCTGTGGGACATTCCAGATCTTCAAACTTGTTACTCCATATTATGTATAACAAAGAAATGTACTTCTATTATAAACAGGAGCTTCATCTGCTCGATGCCGGATGTGGGACCGGTAACTATACAAAATCTTTAATCAATTATGGCGTCGGTAAAGTAACGCTAATGGACGCTTCCACTGGCATGCTTGAAAGGGCTAAGGTTAAACTGGCTGATGCTCTATCTAGGGATGTTGTTGTTGACACAGTTGAACATAGGCTTCCATATATGCCATTTGATGACGCTACATTTGATGCCATTTTATTCAGTCAAGTATGAGATTTTGATGTTAAATAAACATGAGCGTCTAAAGTAAGTTTAATAAGATATAATAGCCCTTACCGTCCTGGCGGCAACATATTCTACGTAGGACAATGCCAACGGACACATCCGTGCCGTCTAACCATGGTCTGCACTTTTTGCTATTCAGTCAGTACATATTATTAATATTTTGCTAAAATTATTATGAACAGAATACCCTTTTAGTCAACACATTAAAAGATGGACAAGTCCATATAATATGTAAACCGCGGTAGGGCGTTTTGCTTCTTATTCAGTTATGTTAACGCTGACTGCACATTATTAACAAACAATACTTATGATATAAAAAGACTTACTGTGGAAGTAACAATATTTTAATCTGTGGGTACAAACAAACTTTTACAGTTACAGCTAACAAGTAACCATAAAGCTTTATACCTATGGATTGGCTTGGGAAAACACAACATGTGTGCCGGATATCGGCATTGATCAAGCTTGACTTTATTACTACATGCTTACAGATTAATGTCAAAAAAATGAACGAACGACTACAGCATTAAAAATATCACTTTTCTATCAATGAATCAGTAATGCGTTTATGGATATTGTTTTGGAAGGCAATATCCGCCAGGTCGTCTTTTGTGCTTTGTTGTTTGATATTCTAACATGATATTTCTTATTTTATTGCGTTAGTTTGTTTTGGACGGAAATGTGTTAGCTTATCAGTATGACACCTTTCTTATATGACTTAAGTATATTATGACAACATTTTATTTGTGAAAAATCATCGTTTTTTTAATTCGTATCAGTGATAATATGATTATATGCATTTTATTTTGTAAACATGCAAAAAAACTATTAATGCATGATTATCACTATTATATTTTTTGTGTTCAGACATTATTTATCTTTCTTATCAAAATTAGCTCTTTGATTCCCTACAACATGCGTAAAATATTTGAAAAAATAAATACAAAACATAAAAAATAGCAGATACATTGTGTTGTAGTGTAAAATGTGTCATTGAAGAACAGCTCGCAAATCAATGTTATTTGTAATGCACCTTTGATTAACACATCAACACCAGTTATTGTTATACAGTGGCAAAGGGGAAGTAGCTAGTAATGTAGCGCGAATGAAGATGATGAAATTAGATATATTCTAATATTCTATGAGAAACTGAAGGAAATAATTATTAGCATCATTTTTAAAAATAACTTCTTACATTTTGACAAATTGCAATTTTGAATAGTTTAAAATCATATCTTTATGCGAACTATTCTGCAGCATGGAATAAAATTTAAAAAAAAATGTAGAGATATGTCACTACTTCTCGTAATCCTCCCCACCCTCATCCTAACACATCCTAGGCAGGCTCAATAATCAAAGCACTGAAAGCACTGGAGGGTCGCTTGCGCTGACAAATCTATATGACATTATTTTGCTGGTGATCACTTGAAAGGCCAAATCATGTCCTTTTGCAACTTTTTTGAAAAAGTTCATGTCATATTCAAGTGGAAATGATTGAGTACAGAGAAAAGAGCAATATTTTGCCATATGATTTAATTCAGGAAGATTTATCATTGACATCCAACAATTACAACACGGTTTATCAAAAGTACTAACAAGAGCGATCGGTGATCACATGTGTCACCTCATGATGGCCAATTTCATGTTGGGACAAGTTTTGTAACAGACGGACAGTGCACAACTATACTTGGTACTGATCATTCCTGTAAAGTTTGGATGAAATTGCACCGGTAGTTTATGAGGAGAAGTCCGGACAAGCTTTTGTGTATCTGGCAACACACAGAAAAAATTACCTTTTTACCAAAGGGCCATAACTCGGCCAAAAATCATTCAACCGGAAAACCCGTGCAACATGCGCATGGACTTGAGCTACAGATCAATCCTGTAAAGTTTCATTGAAATTACATAAGTGGTATAAGAGAAGAAGTCTGGACAAACTTTAAAAACAAAAATTATTAAAGGGCCATAACTCTGACAAAAATCATTGAACCGGAAAATGCTGACAGTATGCACAACTAGACTTGGTACTGATCATTCCTGTAAAGTTTGGATGAAATTGCACCAGTGGTTTATGAGTAGTCCAGACAAGTTTTGTGAGGGACGGACAGACAGACGACGAAGAAGTGATCCCTATATGTCGCCACTACTCCATAGAGGCGACACAAAAACCAGTATTTTTTCTCAAGTGGTTCAGTTGAGATCGAAAAACCAAACTGCTTTATGTCCTCAAAATAATACTTTGAAAGTTGAATAAATTTTAAGAGTACACTACTGACAGAAGCAGAAGTTGGAAGTAGATAACCAAGTCCTCTATTAACAAGTACTTAGCATTGATAATTTCATCTACTTATAAGGCATATGAAAAACATGCTCATTCTTGGGGATTATAGTTATTATCAATCTGATATTCAAGTTCAAACAACTCGAAAAGAAAATGGTTGAAAAATCTTTCTGTTTATATGCATACTAGTAATAAGTGTTCCATCAGGGATAAACTTTCAGTGATTGTGAATACATGACTTATCAATGTCACAATTTCATTCAGAGAGATTCATGAAATTCTCACAAAAAATAAGTAAAGTATGGTCAGTTGAAACTAGAACTACACTAAATGTGATTAATACCCCCAAAAAACTGCTTTGGACATTTGGATGTAACAGAATACCTTGTAAAAGAATTGAAATAGAGTTATGTTCGTGGGCATTTAAAGATAGTAAGTTGTGGTTCTTGTATGTTGCATTTCTTTTCAACGTGGTTGACCATTGATTAAGTTTTATTGAAGAACTCTATAAATACTGCAGATGGAGTAATGATTATTGTACACTGCATTTTTGTCTCATTCGCTTGACCATTGTATGAAGTTGTATTGAATTCAAACTACTAGTTTTCAAGTGATGCACTGGACAAAAGTACCAAAGGGCACTTCTGTAGGATCATTCCTGCAAAGTTTGGTTACTGTGCAGTCTTTTGTTTCCGAGGAGAGTTGTTTAAAGAAATTTTTGACGACCCACGACAACTGATGGTGGGGGTCACAATAGTTTCACCATGAGCACGTTGTGCTCAGATGAGCTAAAAAGTAATGATCAAAATACAAGTTTGTGGATAACCTCGGCAATGCCAACATGACTGTTACGATACCTCTATTTTTTAAAAAGAAAAAGTCGAGCTAAAAAGGGGCATAACTGCAACAAAAATAATTTATTGTGGCCAAAATTTAACTAAATATGTCTTTTGATACTAACATGGCAAGTATCAACACAATTCATATCCTTCATAAGTTGTCCTGCAGAAATCAATTGAACACCATAACTTATAACATGTTTTTCAGAAAAAAAAATTACATTACTTTTAGATTATTTCACAATAAAGTATAATTTCAAAAGTAGCCAGACTTTATTTGAATGAGGATGAAAAGCCTATAAACAAACAAAAATTTGTGGGAAATACATTTATTTCTCAGAAAAATGTGATAAATAAAGAGTAGATAATAAATATTTGCAAATCAGGAAGGAAATTAAACAAATTCAGGAAATATGACAGAATCACTTTCAAATATGAACATGGAAAATTAATGATTCTACACAGAAAAAAATCTGCTCTCTTTGGCTTGTATGTTGGGCTATAAATCTCGGACATAATAAGGCGTCATATCTGAACTACTTTTAGTCACAGTAAAATAGCAGCCTCCATTTACCAACATTGTGGCAAAGTTATACTAATACATAATATATGTTTTTCAATGCCATTCATGAAAATATTTAATCTGCTGTTCACTCTATGAAATATATTTGGATCTTGCATGCAAAAGAAACAAATATCTATTATATGATATGTTCCAAATTTCTTCATTCTTACAAAAATAAAATTATATATTTATGTAAATTAGTTCATTAACAAGCAAAACTGTAATTTCATTGTTCTGATGAACAATCTGCAGTGTTTTTGTTAAACAGCCATACTCCAAGACCAACAAGTTTTCTGTGGCATTATATTATCCAAAATTAACAATATTGTGAAATATTGGAAAACAAAAATATCAACAAATACATGTATAAAATAAAACCAATGTATAATAATTCAAGTCCATTTATAGTTGAAACTGTGGAATTTAGCTATGTCAATGTCTGAAGGGATTCCAGTTCAATTAATCTTCTGTTCTCCCATAACTGAAGCTACAAATATCTGAAAATAAAATATATTTGTCATGTTGCAAGTAATTGTTTATCTGGCACTGAATTTATTCCAAATCATAAAGACAATGTGCTCCATACATGCCATACTTAACAATTTACCAGTAAATCGAAGACATATTTCTTCTATAATTTTTTTATCATATCTTTGCATGAATTATCATAGTTAGCTAGCTTACACCACTATTTAAAATGCTAGTTTCTGGTCACAAGAAAATCAAAAGCAATGGATGGTGTGATATTCAAACTAAATTAACTTTACAAATGCTGCTGAAAAACAAACAAGAATATTGTCAATTACTTTCAATTAAATGACAGGACAAATATTGGTTTCAATTAATGCTGCTTTACAAGAATAGAACACCACTTCTAACTGCATGCAGAACCATAGTGTATTCTGGTGTCAGGAAAATAATTATTATCGCCTATTTTTGTATCTCATGCTTTCTTTAGATGGATAAAAGTAAAAATTTAAAGTGGACTACTATACCTCAATTGGTATTCTGTATGCTGAAGTTTCCTTTTGAATACAGAAATAACTCCTTCACATAGTAAGCTTCACTTTAATTAAGTTGTTCCAGAAATAATACATTGTCTACTGGGTACTTCAGACAGCTTCATTTGAACAGAGTGGGCGGCAACTTCTTACTGCAAAGTAGGAGCAAGGTTTAGTAAAACAATGAAACAGCATAATTTGTTCAAATACAAAAAACTAGAAGCAGGGCATAATCGGTTATTGTTTTTCAGAAAAGTAATTGAAAATTTAACTTTAGAATGGATCATTTCACTATA